ATTTCCTTCCTGTCTGGGAGAAATAAGTCATCCACCACCTTCACACTTCTGTTCCAATTGGAAAGCTGTATTGGTTAACACATTAGAGATGACCTCAGAGGCACCAAAATGTGTTCATGTCACATTGAGGAATGAAAACACAGACTTCCTCTTGTATTAATTTGACCAAGAGTGAGCCCAAATTTTAGTCCTCTACTTCTCTCCTTGTATCTTCTGTCTGTCTGTAGTTTAAGGTTACAGGCCTACATCTATGGCTCCTTGTCTCTTTTGTTATCCAAGACAAAGGGCTTTACTCTACATTTGTAGGGTAGCACAGAAAACATGGGATGAGGCAGTAATAAGGGAATATTTTTACAAAATTCTTTAATAGAATTTTACTCAGAGAGAAGTCATTTTACTGATCTCAGCTACTCAAAAGCAAACATAATCACCAAGAGACATTATCAGGCTATGTGCACATGTTGTCTGTAATATTTATATCGGATATTTGTTTTACAATGTGCTTCCAATTTGTTGGCTGTTTCAGCAAATGATCACCACAACACACACACACACACACACACACACACACGCACACATTACTCAGGGTTGGGGGCATGGAATAGTACATAGCTTAAATTAAAGGTTTGCATTGGTTGATGTTATAAAAGCTCAGTATATGGGAAATTCAAGGCAAAGTAAGCCTGGTTATATTATTAACTTTTCTGTGAGCTCTGCCTAAAGTTCAGTATTTTGGAGGGGGGGATATCAAGACATAGTGTCATAAAGTTGTATCACTACAGAGAGCTTTCTGAGGACCAGTTTGTCATTGCAGGCTATAAATGCATACAGAAGGTAGCCAGAAATGCCCATCTAAGTCAACTTCCAATACATTAAAGAAATAACTAAGGCTTCCTGTAGGATGTGCCCCGTCTGAACATCACAGAAAATACATTTCTACAATAAATGTGACAACAAGCTCTGAGTTAACCTTTGTCTTAGGGATGCTAAGAATCATGGATCATGTTTTTAAGTGGTATTGGTTCAACACCTGAGACTTCTGAAAGGGGAAGCCAATTTTCTGTTTTCCTGATTGAACTTGTTTTATAAGCCCATTTATGTAAATTAGGTTAATGTTAATTCCTGGTTCCCACTACTGTCTTTGGCCCATTTAGTCTTTTCTCTGTTTTATTTGTATTATTCATCCATATAACTTATTTTTCTCCGATCAGATTACTGGCCTCCAAATTGGCATTCTGGTGAACTCCCTGATTTTATCTATTAAATAAAATTGGATGATGTGTTATCTAAGGTCTTCTTCAATTTTGATGTTATATGAATGAGACTAGAACTTGAAAAATATTTGGCTCAGTGCCTGGCATATAACAAATGCCTAATAAATGTGGCCTATTTGCATAACTTATCATTATTAACATTATTAAATCTGATGAGATTTTATTGCTCTTCCTGAATTCCACATATTGAAAAGCTGTTTGGTATCATGTGACTCAGTAACTCTTTCACTGAGCTGTGAAATACTAGCCACATTTTTTCCTCTTGGTTGGCTCCAAACTACCCATTATGAATTTATCATTGACATACAGACTTTAAACCTAGAAGAAATTTTAAAGGTTAATTTTTATTGAGGAAGAAATGAAGTACCTTGTGAAGCAAAGTCTTTCCAGAACAATTCCAGTTTGCGATGTTGAGATACGCCCTTATGGAGTTCTTGTGCACTTCTACTCTGCGGCTTAGATTTTGCTCAAAGTTTCTTCTAGAGCTGGAAGGGACCTTGGCACTGAAGCTGAACACTACCAGGGCCGTGTTGTAAAGTCATACTTTGCTAGGTACAAAAAGGCTAAAAATGTGAAACTGCTCGATTTCATACCTTATGGCGGTTATAGAGGGAACATCTCTGGTTAGACCTTGAGGTGCTTTGCATTCAAAGCTTGGACTTGGACTATTTGTTTAATGCAATGATGGCTTTGTAGTAGCCACCACTGTGCCATCAGCCTTCCCCTCCCCCTTGGCTTCTGAGTATTTGTGATAAGGCTGACTAAAGCAGACCTAAAGTCACAGAGTAAAGCAGTCCTTTGCTGTAGATTTTAGTCCTTTTCTGAAAGCTGCCTTCTTGGCCAAATGAGATTCCATTCAAGGAAACTAAACTAAGGAGGTAATGAAGACCCTAAATCAGGAGGAAGTTTCTTTATTAACAGACTTTATATGTATATAATTTTTACTTTTGTTTGTCTATGGTGTGCATTTGTGTGTTTGTGTGTGTGTGTGTGTGTGTGTGTGCGCACGTGTGTGTATGTGCCATTCTTGTGAAGGGTCCGAGGACAATTTGCTGGAGTGGAATTTTCTTCTTTCGCCATGTTGGCACGGGGGACTGAACTCAGGTCTACATACCTTCTCAATGGGTTTTCTCTTTTGAAATACACTTACATCAAAGAGGAAGAATATGCTCTTTAAAAAACTATACCTTGATGAGACTTAACAAGCTATGGCAGATGGCAATAGTAGAGAACTCCCTTTCAGTGGACTAGGGAAAGGGCATGGGAAGGGGGAAGAGGAAGGGAGAGTGGGACTCGGGGGATTTGAGGGAGGGGGCTTTAATCAGGATATATAATGGATAAATTGTAAATAAAAAAATTAAAATTAAAAAATTAAAATTCTTGGACCTTGGTCCAAGAATTGGCTAAGTGATTTCCCCCAATTCCTACCTTTGTCATATTTGGATATGCCAAGCAGAACACCCTTACAGAGTGCAAGAGTGTTAGTGGGAAAGGAAAGACAAATACACCATAGAAAAATGAGCAAGCAATTTTGTCATCCTGGGGAAACAGTTTTTAGCACCCAGGAGACATTCCTCTTCATTTCATTCACAAATTCAAGCTCAGAGTCAATATGGCTTTCAAGAGAAGCAGGGGTGAGGTGTGGAATTTGGTGTGTGTGTGTGTGTGTGTGTGTGTGTGTGTGTGTATGTGTGTGTGTGTGTGTGTGTGTGTGTGTGTGTGTGTGTGTGTGATCGATAAGAGTTCCAGAATCCTAAAGAGAAATCTCTAGGCCATGTCTCAGTCTTAACTCTCAAAGTCATACAAGCAAACCCACCCAATTCTGTCCCTTATGTATGTGCTGAGATTTAGATCTTCAGGAAACTCTTCTTGTTCTATCTGGAACTCAGCAACTTTTAGCAGCAGAGATGCAGATGGTCAGGGTGGCAATTAACAGATCAATCTCTCTCCCTCCCTTAGTTCCTCTCTCCTTCCCTCCCTCCCTTCCCCCTTCTTCCCCCCCCCCCCCCCGTGTCTCTCTGTCTCTCTCCTCTTTCTCTCTCCCTCCCTGCCCCCTTACTCTGGAATCCATGGTGGGTGGGGATGTGTTAAGAGGTCTGTCCAAAGAGACTGGCCGGTAGCCAGACTATACCAACTCTCTAAGGCCAAGCAAAATGCCCACATTTCTCCCCTTACAAAAATAATGCCAAGTAACAATTAACATTTTTCTCTAGAGAATTCTGAGCCTAAATTCCATCAGTATTTTGTGTCTTAACTCCACCCGACCCCCACCCCAACAATGTTCAGCACAAGCTGATAGGAATCATATACCAGGTCCTCAAAACAGATGTGTTAAATCAGCGAAATAAATAAATCAATAGACTACATGCCCTTCTGGAAAATGTATCCATTTTCCTCATCTACCTCTTGTTCTGCAACGTACGGATTTTGTTATTTTCGGTTTGCTGAAAGCTTTAAAATATAGCATATTTATACAATATGCAAAAATGCCACAAAAATCTATGCTCCCAGGTGCTAGCAGAATCAAGCTTGCAGCTGTGCCTCTGATAACAAAACCATCCCGTGATGGGTTAATCTCAGACACATTCAACTAGTGTTTAAGAAGAAAGATAAGGGATGGAAGAAGAGGGGAGAGGGAGGTGGGAGTTCAGGAGAGCTGCTCCTTTTAAGGTTAGGCGAACCATTTCATATGGGCTAATTTTTCTTTTTACAATAAACCGCTCCTTGCCCCCTCACCTGAATAAAGACAGGGTGGTTAGAGCAGCGTGAAGAGGGCCAGCCGCGGTTCCCGGCTGTGTCCGAAGCCACAGTGCTTTATTTAACGCAGACGTGGTATTTCATCTGGCTTCCTCTGTGGTCCTTTTTATATTACCCTCCTTCACTGTTCCCAAGTCATACTTGGAAAGTTGGAAAACTCCCCTTGCTGGGGAAAATGAAGCCCTCGGAGAAGCAACCCAGCAAATGAATGGTCACTCCCTCGGAACCGACACTCGCCCATCCTCTAGTACTGCGGGTCTTCATAGAAATATGTTTCCTCCTCCTAAGCACAGGACTTCACTCTCCTGGGACGCTGCTGCTGAGTGTCAGAGAGGCTGATCTCCAAAGTCAGCAGGCGACAGACTTTTGGCTTTGGCTTTTGTAAGAGTGGATGAGACTTAACTGTCCTGTGTGGCAGCTTCTCCGGGGAGCAGAACGTGCAAAATAAACAGTTGCTAAAAAGCATAAAGAATTAGCGAAGTGAAAATCTCGAGTTGTTTGTTCGGCAACTGAGACACGAGTGACCTTAAAATGCTTAGTTATTCCAGGATGTTAACCGTCTGGATGAATGAATCTTTGCCGTGCTGTGCTTCCCTCTCCTCACCGTGTAAATCTCAGACTTTCAAATCCAGCCTGACGGGGAGAGAGAGAGAGAGAGAGAGAGAGAGAGAGAGAGAGAGAGAGAGAGAGAGAGAGAGAGAAATAAAAGGATAGAAATCAAGACTCCAGCTGCTCCCTCCTCTCAGCCCTTCGGGGAGAGTGGCTGGCCTTGGCTGCCCCGACCCCGGAGGTTACAGCAGGGAGAACCGGGAGGCGCTAGGACCTGGGTGGCGCCTGGCTGAGGCCCCGCTCGTGAGGGCGGAGGAGAGGAGGAGGGAGATGTGGGAAAGGAGGGGTGCTCCGGGGGGCGGGGGAGTCATTTATGCGGAGCGGGCGCCGCTGCCGTCGCCACTCACAGTCCCCGCGCGCTGCCCGGAGCCGGAGGGAGCGCAGCGAGCGGGCGAGCGAGCGCTGGGAGCCCGGTTCAGCAGAGGGGGCGCCCGGCCGCCGCTTACGCTCGGGCTGGTCGTCTTCCCGGCGCTGCGGGGCCCGAAGGGAGCAAAAGGCGAACGAAGAGTCCGGGAGGGGAGCCCGCGGGGGAGGCGCCGGTCCCGCTCCTCCGTCTCCCGGGTCAGCCGGGGAGCGCTCGCTGACCGCCCCGCCGGCCCCGAGCCCACAAGCCCGGTCCCCGCTGTCCCAGGGATGGTCTAGGAGCCTGCGAGGGGCTAGGCGCTGCGTTCCGTTCCCGGGCTCTCCTGCCTCCTGCCTCCCGCTCCCGGCTGCGCGCCCGGCCGGCCCAGGCCGGAGAAGTTAGTTGTGCGCTCCGCTTAGCGCGCGAGCCAGCGGGCGGGCGAGGGCAGCGAGGCGCTGGGACCATGGGCTGGGGCTGGGGGAGTCGCCGCTGCCACCCGGGACGGCAGGACCTGCTGTGCGTGCTGGCGCTGCTCGCGGGCTGTCTGCTCCCAGTGTGCCGGACGCGCGTCTACACCAACCACTGGGCGGTGAAGATAGCCGGCGGCTTCGCCGAGGCCGACCGCATCGCCAGCAAGTACGGATTCATCAACGTAGGACAGGTAACCGACCCTCCCCCCGCCCCCCGTGGGCTCAGGTTCTACCACCAACAGCTAGCTTTGGGGGCTTCCCGTCCGCTCTGCTTCGACCCCTCCCCCTTTTCCAGATGTGCTTCTGCAGCTGCGGCCCCAACTCTAGGGCGATGCTCTCGCCACCAGCGCGCTCGTTGCACGCTCTCACCACACATGCCCCGAAGTTCCCGGGATCCCTGTTTAATTTGATTTTACAAGCAATGCGGGACAGGTAGGATTTGTGGAAAATCTGGAGTGCCCTTGCACTGGCTCAGACTCGTCAGGACCTTTGGACCTAGAAAGTCCGGGAAATACCTCTGCGAGAGGCTGTGGCAGGGAAGGTAGAGACCTTTGGGAGTGAGAACGCCCCAGTCCCCACTGGGAGGGAAAAGCCTAGATTAACCTCTCCGGCCACAGAATTCCTGGGCTCTGGAGAGCTTGGAGTGCGCCTCGACTGGAGGGGAGGGGGAGAGGAAGGGGGCGGGACACCAGGAGGGAAGCACGGATTTAGGGGGTCCTGGCCGCTGCCTTGCCTGGCCGGGATCCAAATGTGGGCTCCTGGAGCTGAGTCAGGAGGGACCTGGGAGACCTTGAAAGCTGCAGGAGGGTTCGGCTCCCGGAACTTGGGAATTTTCTGTGGGTGCAACGAGTGACAGGAATGTTTTGATGAGGCGTCTTTGGTGGGTTTTCGTTCGATTTGCTGTGCTGAGCGAAATGCCATAAAAATCTGTGGGACCCTTGGTAGCGCCATCGATTTTCATTCTGGTCTAAATGGCCCGAATTTCGTCTTCTTTCCCCATATCCCTACCAGAAATGGGACTGGAGATGGCTCTGTAAGTGCTCCTCCTAAGGACCTCACAACTTCTTTGGCACTGATCCAAGGAGGGAGCCTGTCAAGGCTCCGCTAGGTCGCAACCAGGGTTGAGTGTAAAGCCAAGGTGGGAGGGCCGCAAGGGCGTTTTTTTTGGGGGGGGGGAGTCCACATGGTGTTTCAAAGCCATGGGACAGGAAGATGCCCACTGGTGCTGCTGAAACGAGAGGCCACCAATGATTTCTGAGAACATTTCCTTTGAACTCCATGCCTAGGATGGCAGAACAGCCCTGCCCCCTCCCTCTCAGACCACTGGTGGAAAAGGAACAGGAACAGAGCTCCTATGCCTGCTTCTAGAAATAACCTGAGAAGCAGTTGTGAGGGTTCAGAGGACAAGGGTGAGGTCTTGCTCTTTACCCTCCCAGAGAGGAGATGTATTCCAGAGAAGCAAATTTGGCGGAGGGCTGAGACCTGGGCAATGGCCATGGTTTATGTCCTATCCCCTACTCCTGCCCTCAGTCCCCAAAGAAGTTAGGGCACCCAGCCAAATTTTGTTGCCAGAGTGCCTGTCACCTGCAGGAGAATTGCCTTGGGGTTCTGTTGGCCTCTTCTGTGAAAGAAACCCAGAGTCCATTCAGGTCTCTTAACCAAAGCTGAGAACCGAATGTACCTCAGTAGTGCCAGTGGGGGGGGGGGGGGGCTAACAGACATCGCGAGCACATTTCTGATCTTTCAGGAGACTTTTTCAGTTCAGCCAACATTAAGCATCTTCTTCTATGCCAGCCATATTTGGGAGGCCAAGTTCTCAAAACCACATTTCTTTCTTAATTTAAAAAACCACCTTGGTGCACATTTGACAATAGAACAGATCAGAAATTTGAGACAGGAGACTGGCCCCAACATGCAGAGACATGATGGAGACCGAGGATTCTTGTTCAGGCCAGCTCCTCTGTGCATCTTGCTGTTTAGTGAATCCTTCCACCCAGTGTACAGAAGGGAAGAGCAAGGTCTACATCCTCCTGAATTCTGATTGGATAGCTCAGTAGACTGGAAAAAAAATCCAGTCACAGTTCACTAATATTTAGTTTCAAAGGACCTGGACTTGTTGATACAAGGATGCTTCTTTTCTTGGAAGGGGAGAGGGCCACCCCTGTCCTCCAGGTCTCAGAAGAGAGCTTGGATCGCAGAATCCCGCAGCCTGTATTGAGAGGGGAGACCTGTTACATCATCCATTCTGAACAAGCAAACGTGATCAGTGTCCTATAGCCTCTCCTGACTTTTCACAAATGCCTTTATAGTGAAGGTCCACAGCTTTTCATGTTAAAAGTAAGACTAAAAAAGTTTATATCTACATAACATGAAAAACTATTTACTATAGTTTTTTTTTACAACTCCACTGTGGAAATATAGCTCTCCCAGGAGTTACGGAGGACCACTGAATTGATGCAATAACTAGTGTAAAAAGGTCTGCTGTTGTACAGTGTAAAACATTTCCGTGTGAATCAAAGGGGCCTAAGCCCTGGCTGAGACTTAGCTGGTAAATTGAATTCTGGTGTGCAAGATCATGGCACTGTAAGGGGAGAACGTATTTTGCATTCATCGTTTACTGCACTGACCTTTTAACACCTTAGACATCCTTTTGTTATTCTTTCTTTCCAGCAATAAACCAGCTGTGGTTCGGCTTAGGGCAGTAAATAATTTGCCAATGTCTCTGGAATGTTTTCACGTTTTTACTCAGTTGTGCTGGGGACTGGGGGTGTTATCTTGTGTGTCACAAGTTGGAACAAGAGCTTGTTATTTCTGGTCATCTATGATCCTGATAGTAATATACACACATGTATTGCAAAAGCTATGTACTGCAATATATATCTTCAGTATGATATTCTAGGTGAGTAAGGCAGTGAATTTTTACCACATTAAAGCTGCAATGTTGACTGTCTACTTAGAATATCAATGCAGTGTTTTGTGTAGCATGTTAGCATTTAAAGGTAAAATTTCTGCCCTCAAGATTTCTGCAGAAAAGCCTAGGTGGTTCTCTTTTCTGTTCAGGGAAGATAGGATGTTCAAAGTGACAGGAGATGCAATCAAAGAAACAAGCATAAAGGACTTCTAGAAGGGAACAGTAATGAGGGTTGTCTTGCTTCTGGTTATGGAGATAGCATTATGCTTTCTTGGTTTTCCTGCGATGCTTCCGTTTTATGAGTGGTTTATGCCTAAGAATTCTGAAGTGATGCCTAGCCGCAATCCTTGTTAATAGTTGTTATTATGTCAGCATGTATTAAGTTTTGCTTGGTATGCCAGCTATGGGATCCCCGGAATTGGCAAGCTGAGCTCTGAGTAGGAACCCCTGGAATATCCAGAACTGCCAACCCCTATTGCAGTGGTTGTCAACTTGTGGGTCACAATCCCTTTGGGGGTGGGGGAGGTTGAATGACCTTTACACCGGGGTCACTTAAGATCATTGTAAATATGAGATATTTGCACTATGCGTCCTAACAGTAGAAAGATTATATTTGTGAGGTAGTAGTGAAAAATACTTTTATGGTTAGTGCTCACCAAACATGAGGAGCTGTATTAAAGGGTCACAGCTTTAGGAAGGTTGAGAACCACTGCCCTGTTGGGATGCCTAAGGTTAGGAGATATGCATGACTGTTGACCTGCTTGGGTAAGAAAAAGGGAGTCTTTTTCCTCTGCTAGCAATCTTATCCCCTGAGTCTTTAAGCTAACAATCTACTGGGTAGGGAATTGAAATGTAAAGGAATAACATCAGATGCACATTACCAATTGTAGGTAGAATTAATCTGTATAGAGAGGAATTAATCTCTGGTTATTTGAATCCAGGAAGAAGGTCTCTTGTGAACAGATAGTTTGCAATGGGCACTTGCTGTATTTGGACTTCTATGAATTGCTTATAATCATTGATTCCCAGTCTGAGATTATCAATAGTAGTTTTACCAAGAGCCATGTCACATCTTGAGCAAGCCTCCTTAAAGATAAAGCCAAATGGGGATTTGCTTTGTACCAGGCTCCACCAGAGAACATATGGGCATGGAGACTGCAGAAGCCGCTAGCAAGGCTGTGCAAGTGCGAAAGTCACTGAACTTAATGGCGCCCCTGTGCCTTCATCTGTAAAGTGATAAATCTTGAGATAATGGAGTGAGTTAACTATGCACTGCTCAGCACACAGGCCTGCAATTAAAGGCTTGTTGAATTTGAATCAGAGGAGAAATGTTGAAACAAGTGAGACCCAAATGTTACTTAGATACGGTGAAAGGAGGGCATTTTATTCTAAAAGGAAGATACAAAATGTGGATGTCAAGAAACTGAATTCTTCATGGCTAAGTGAGGTGAGTTTTGTACACAGGGAGAATGATTTTCTATTTCAACTAACCATTTAAGACAGTTTAAGAACAATTTTATGTCAGGCTTAAACCATGAAAGCTGATTTCCCTGGATGGTACCACTTTCTCTCATTCATCTTTGTTTGTAGCACCTTAAATATAGGCTAAGCTTGCTCAAGATGGAAGGAAGGAAAGGACCGTATGTGAAGAACGAGGACTATGGATGCAGCTTCGTTGGCAGTATTGTCCAAAGGGCTAAGTTCAGTCCCCAGCACCACATAAAGTGGGCATAGTGGTACTTGGATGATAGTTCAAGGTCATCCTCAGCTATAGAGAGAATTTGAGCCCAGCCTGGCCTACATGAGATACTCCCTAAAACTGAAAATATCTGAGGAGTAGTTATATTGGAAAGCATTTTACCTTAGCGTATTACATTAAATATTTGAATTTAAATGTTAAAATTGAATGTTGTTTGTGTAAGTAAACCCAGAATGACTTTTCAGGTTAAGCAGGAAAATATCTCGAGCAACAAGAACCTTGCTCAAAGATGTCGCAAAACTGCCTAATTTCCTGATTAATTTTGACCTGTGGATAATAGTATTCATAGGAACTGATGAATGCTGAAGAGTGAATTCTGGGTGATCATGGACAGCATAGAAACTGGGGGTGTGGCTAGCCTGATCAGTTGCATGCAAGTGGACTGAGTTCCCCTAGTAAAGCTGTAGGCATTTTGTAAACACGAGAGTAAATGGATAGTTAATCCCACTTTGATCCCCCTGGCCTTGCACAGGGCAGCTCTTTACACCCAGGAACCTCAGCCCTGCCTTGGCTAGCTGCTC